GTGAGTGAGTGAGTGAGTGAGTAAGTAATTGATGATGTGACTGATTGGCAGTCTGACTATCACTGAAGTCAAACTCATTTTATACTCTGCTCCATAATAATCTGAGTAAGCCATGATATATCGTCATGGCTAACTCGCTCTCGCTTTATCAAAGCTGACTTATACGAGGTGTAAGGTTCTTTAAAGAGAAATTAACGGAGGACATCTCACAGCAATCAAATAGGTCCTCAAAGAGCTTACAGCATCTTCTTAATGGCGGGTGCGTGAAGTTTTCACGATGCCGGATAAAGTTATAGTTAGGTACTTAATCTAAGGAGAGCACGTGCGCAGCTAAAACAATTCGTTATCAGGGCGGGAAATACAAAAGATGGTCGCATGTAACAGAACAAGGTTGAAAGTAAGGAAATTCTAAAACCGTTCGCTGTCTGTAAACTCATCCTAAGTGCAAAAACTGGAAACCTTCAATCAGCGGATCGGTCACATTGGAACCTAAGCCAATCGAAAAAAAAAAAAAAAAAAAAAAAAAAAAAAAAAAAAAAAAAAAAAAAAAGAAAAAGAAAAATGAATATTTCAGTCCTTATCAATCCATTTTTTACTCAAAATAGTATTACCTTGATGAAGCATGTATTTTTGTTTGGGAGTGGTTTGTTTAGGTTATATGTGAGAATTACCCTCCACCATTTCGCTGAAAAAATATTTCAAAATATTTCAAATAACTTCTTCGTGTTACTCACTCAGTCTGTTTAGTTCAGCTGTAAACTTCAACAATATCGCACTGGAAATGTCTCTCTCTAGAATAAAACGTGGGAACCTTATCCGTTTTATAGCGCCAAGGTCAAGACAAGTAACTTAGTTGTAAATCATTCGTTGCTTTCAATAATTGGGAAGCTAAATTATCGGTTAACAGCCGCCCACAGTGGCTGTGTTTTTTTAACATCTCCATCATCATAGTTCGTTATGGTAATTAGAGTGGAGCACGCGCGCAAATAAATCAATTTTCAGTTATTTAGCGGAAGATGCATGCGTTATTCACATATGGCCGAACACTCTGCACTTCCTAGCTCGAATGGAAGGATATTCTTCTCGAAACGATTGCTGGTGGAAAATTTTAAGAAGAAAAGCCTCTGAGATCGTGTAACATAGAAGGCCCTGTCTGGACAAATAACTTTATCAGTGTTTACTTAGCCTCCTCTACTCTAAAAGTAAAAACACAAAAATCAAAATCAAACTTTGCATTTTTTTTCCTATTGCCTTAATATCTGTTCTTTTAAATTTTTTGGCGAGTGTCGTGTAAGATCTTAGATCAAAACCGTCACGTGCACTCTTCTAAGTATCTCGCAATAAGCATTTTAAGAGATATCTGGGTACGGTCATTCTCGATAAAATTAGATTATTACAAATAGTGATGTCTCTGACAGTAAAGGAAGTATCATGCTGAGACAAGAGATTATTGGCAGAAAAGATAGGTCCCACCTACCTGTCAGGTAACAAGAAACTCAGCGGAAGGTATTGTCCTATCAGTTTATAAAGCTTGCCGCCACATCTTCTGTATAGTTTCTCATTTTCTTTTTGGTGGTATATTCGTGCTGCACGTATCCAAAGAGTTACGCCCAAATCATTACAATGAGACGTTCTCAACAAGGAATAGGTATGTAATACCGGCTGTTTGGTGTTTAATTTGCAGTGCATATATACTTCCGCAAACACTTTGGTCATTTTTTTCCAAATATAGGAGTTTTTGTAAAAAAAAGTGTCATTTAATACTAGAGCTCTGCGAAAGATCTGAAGATGACATCAAAACCGTCACGCGCACTCTCTTTAGTATTTCACAATAAGCATTTTAAGAGATATCGCGGGACGGTCGTTCTCGATAAAACTAGATTGATATATGTGATGTATCCGACAGTAAAGGAAGTATTATGTTGAGGAAATAGATTATTGGCAGAGAAAATAGGTCCACTTTCCTGCCAGGTTTTTCCTTTATCAGTTTAGAAAGCTTGCCGCCACATTTTCTGTATAGTTTCTCATTTTCTTTTTGGTCGTATATGCGTGCTGCATACATCCAAAGAGTTACACCCAAATTATTACAATGATACGTTCTCAACATGGAATAGGCATGTTACGATCAAGTATCATGAGAGTTTATGGCTGTTTCATCATGGCTTTGGTAACGTCGCAAAATTCCAGTATCAGTTGGTTTCCCGTAGACCTTCGTGTCTGGTCGGAGACTGTTTCTGATAATCATCGTTCCAAGAAAGGGAAGTCTGTCGTTGTTCTCAAGTTCCATTGTGAAACTGAGAGAGGGGGTGGATTTCATTCAGTGTTGACAAGAAAACAGAGGCATCTTGTTTTGGTTTCCCCATTTTTCTTCAATATGGCACATAAACGCATTTACCATTAGTAGTACGAGGGGAGAGCCCATGGTAACCCTATCCACTTGCTCATACAAATTTCCGGCGAATTGGGAAAAGGTGTTTTTTTTTTTTTT